TCTCTCTCTCTCTCAACTATCTCTCTAAGCATAGCCTCCTGACTCTGCCCTGTGTAAACTGTTATATGGTTACCTAACATTTGTAAGCAGCTTCAATTTAGATTTAATATTGTAATTGTTAGATTTAATATTGTAACTGTTTGATATCTATTCACTACTCAGAAATAAATCACTTTCATTGTTAAGCTGGTTGCTTCTCTCTCTTTCTTTCTCTGTTGCTCACTCTTCCTTAAGGGGTGTTGTTTTGGCTTCCCCATTCGCTCTGCAACAACGCTTCTTGTACCCAAGCAAAAGATCCCTGGAGTGCCCAAAATCCTGTGGGGTTTGCTCATCGTGTGGTTTACCTGTGAATGACTGTGGTGTGAAAGTGGGGATAAGGGGTGCTGAACCTGGGGGCTTATGAGGATGGCAGCTTAAAGTGCTGTTTAATCCAGCCCACGGAGTCCAAAGGCACATGAGGGTGCAGTGTGGCATTGCTGTGAAACCCAGCCAGCTGAGTCCAGGGACATAGGAGGGGGTCAGCTTGTGAGTGCTGAGTACCCAGTCCTCTCAGACGTGCTCTGACTAGTGTGTGTGAGTGTCTGTGTGTGTTGCTAAGGTGGGAAGAACCCCATCCTGAGGAACCTAGTTCCTGCAGGAGAGCTCCAGTGGGAGGGGGAATTGGCAGCAGGGAGAATTCAGCTCCATATGAGAGCCCAAGTAAGCACCAACAGCACACTGATAGAACTGTTAACCTTCCCCCAGTCCCATAAGGATAACCCTGATAAATGAGCATACCCCAGAGTATTGGGCAAATCTGGAAACATATTAGTGGGTTAATACATTACACAGATTCTAAAATATTACATGCAAATACAAATACATACATACCTATTCTGATAATTGTTAGTTTCCAAATTCCTATTCAATGTTTCAGAGAAGTTAGCTACAAGAAACTCTTTATTCAAAACAGATCTGGTATTCATTATTAACCAAGAAAATAGGTGCAAATTTGGCTTAATGAGGAGAGCTCCTTGAGCAGACATTAATGTAATACTTTTCACACACTGTTTATGGAAGTATTTTACAAGGAAACTACTTATGTGTCACAAGACACGAACCAATGAACAACTCACTGGCACACAATGAATTTTTGAAAGGATCCTGCTGATATGATCTTCTTAGTGGTCACATCTTACATTCATGCTACTTGATGCAAAAACTGGACATATTTTTTAAAAATTGAGAATGAAAGTATGACCATCGTAAAGTATTTGTGCCACCTTAAAAAAAGAGAAAAAGAAAAAGATAGCTTAATACAACTCTTTAATTAGATAGTGTAGGCCACTGAGTCAGCCTTTATATTCTCAGCAGAATTCTAATTAGCACCATAAACAGCTATATAAATGTCCAAAAAGTTTGAGTGGTATTAATTTAGAGGGAATGAGTACAGTTTTCTGTTACAGAGCAAACAGTAACGGAACAGTTATCACCATAGTTATAGTACTTTAAAAGTGACTACTGTCCAATTTGCTGAATCCTGTGGATACTGCCATGCTGCAGCTGCCATTTTAGATGATTTCTGTGGGCTGGATTATTCCTTTATCTTCTAAGGTTATTTCTACACTACATTGTAAGTCCACAGTCTGTGAGATGTTAGCCTGCAGGCTTGGTGTTTGCAAGCCCATAGCACTGGCTTGAGTGTTCACACTGAATATTAACCTATGTTAAGAATTTCTGGACCTGGATCTTAGACTTATGTTCAGGTGTCCAAACTGCAAGACAGAGACCTCAGTCAAACCAGCCTATCCCTGAATTCCTTGCACATTTCCCAGAGATAGCTACTCTAGTAGTTTATGGTGCATCATGAGAAAATGTGATGGTCAGTCCCACTGTCTTTTATGGGAACTTATCCCCTCGGCTAGCCTGAGACAGCATCTCCACGCTCTAAGTCCTCCTCTGATGCCCTGCCGGCACTGCTTCCGGCCATCCTTAACCCCGGTTCAGGGTCCACTTAATGTGGACATGCTAGTTCGAATTAGCAAAACGCTAATTCGAACTAGTTTTTAGTTCTAGATGCGTTAGTTCGAATTAGCTTAGTTCAAATTAAGTTAGTTCGAATTTGCGCTGTAGTGTAGACATACCCTCTTTCTTTCTCTCTCTCCCCCATCAACTATCTCTCTCTAAGCATAGCCTCCTGACCCTGCCCTATGTAAACTGTTATATGGTTACCTAACATTTGTAATCAGTTTCAATTTAGATTTAATATTGAATTGTTAGATTTAATATTGTAACTTTTTGATATCTATTCACTACTCAGAAATAAATAACTTTCATTGTTGAGCTGGTTGCTTCTCTTTCTCTCTTTCTTTCTTTCTTTCTCTTTTGCTCGCTCTTCCTTAAGGGGTGGTGTTTTGGCTTCCCCATTCGCTCTGCAGCAACGCTTCTTGTACCCAAGCTAAAGATCCCTGTAGTGCCCAAAATCCTGTGGGGTTGCTCATCGTGTGGTTAACCAGTGAATGACTGTGGTGTGAAAGTGGGGATTAGGGGTGCTGAACCTGGGGGCTTATGAGGATGGCAGCTTAAAGTGCTGTTTAATCCAGCCCACGGAGTCCAAAGGCACATGAGGGTGCAGTGTGGCATTGCTGTGAAACCCAGCCAGCTGAGTCCAGGGACATATGAGGGGATCAGCTTGTGAGTGCTGAGTACCCAGTCCTCTCAGGCGTGCTCTGTTAGCGAGTGTGAGTGTCTGTGTGTGTTGCCAAGGTGGTAAAAACCCCGTCCTGAGGAACCTAGTTCCTGCAGGAGAGCTCCAGTGGGAGGGGGAATTGGCAGCAGGGAGAATTTAGCTCCATATGAGAGCACAAGTAGCATAAACAGCACAGTGATAGAACTGTTAACCTTCCCCCAACCCCATAAGGGTAACCCTGATAAATGAGCATACCCCAGAGTATTGGGCAAATCTGGTAACATAGAATATACCACAGGCCAGTCTGCGCCTTTCCCTGGGTAATTGCAGAGTCGCCTCTAAAAGGGTGAGGACCTCAGGGCTAAATGAGTCAGATTTGAATCCCAAATGTGACCTTCCTGCCCCTTCTGCTGTGGAGCCCTGGGGAGAAGCAGTGTTCCCCAGCGCTGTGAGGTGTGAGAGCCACCTACCTGCTCAAGGTGCTTCTGACGTCCTGGGGAGAGGGAGAGAGAGAGAGAGAGAGAGAGTTTCAGTCCCACCTGACACACACTGTGAATTCCAAGGGAGGGATTTGGCGAGCGAGGGGGAACTAGGCTTTGCCTGGCCCCAGGGCCATGGACCCCTGAGCGAATGGGGCTTTGCCATCGCTAGTCTCTCTGTGCCTGTGGGTCTGCACAAAACAACAATTCGCATGCCAGGAAGGTGCACACGGAGCTGCCCTGTGACCTCTGACTTCTGTGCCCACCTGTTAGGGGCTGTCCTGTCTCTGTGGTGGGATCTGGGGAATTTCCCCCTCAGTCTCACCTGCAGGAATTCACTCGCTGGCTTCTGGCACTTCTCCTCCAGCTCCCAGATCCGCTCGCTGAGACAGGAAATCTCTGAGGAGAGTTTGGTGACAGTGTCAATCCCTGCCTTCACAATCATCTTATCCAGCTTCTCCAGCTGGGCCAGCAGGAGTCGCTCTTGTTCCTGCAGGAACTGCTGCAGCTGCTGAAACTCAGCCACAATCTTCTGCCTCTCTGTTCCTGTCCGTTTCTGGAAGAAGAAGCAAAGGAAGAACATCACCACCACCGCTAGGGGGACATGGATGGAACCAGGGCCCTTTCACAGAGCGCTGAGTGTGCAGGGGGAGAATCTCTTTGTAAATTCTAAGTCACCAGACAGTGAACAGTCTCCTGTAGTTACTAGAGAGAGAATTTTCTGACATCTTCTCGTTTGGCCGCAGTATCTCCAAAAGGCCGTTTCCGTGTCTGACGTGCTTTGGATACTGAGTGGCTCATGGCCTCAGCAATGTAGATCCAAAGCAGCAGGGAGCAGAACTCAGCACTCGCTCTTGGTGACATTTTCTGCATTTCAGTTTTTTTCCTGGGGAAATGCAGATTTGCCACCAAAGAACCATTTCATGAATTACTGGCAATGTTGTGCTGCAGAAAGAAATGCATGACAAATCAAAATAGTGGCTTTTTTTTCTAGATTTAAAAGTCTGACGTATTTTTGAAACTGTCCTTGTGCTGTATAACATTATTTGTTAAGAAAATGGTAAAGTTGAAAGAAAACATTTTGATTTTTTCCAAAAAAAATTCATTTGACTAAACAAAAATTCAAATTTGTCATTTGCTAATAATTAAAAAAACAAGTGAACCTGTGAGAGAAAAAGCAGGCACCTAAAGCGAATGACAAGAATGGAGAAATTGTCAGAACACAAAGGAACTAAGGGTATGTCTATACTACCCTCCTAGTTCGAACTAGGAGGGTAATGTACGCATACCGCACTTGCAAATGAAGCCCGGGATTTGAATTTCCTGGGCTTCATTTGTATAAACTGGGCGCCGCCATTTTATAATCCCTGCTCATTCGAACCCCGTGCAGCGCGGCTACACGCGGCACGAACTAGGTAGTTCGGACTAGGCTTCCTAGTCCAAACTACTGTTACTCCTCGCTATCGGGGCTTTTTTGCGGAAAAGAAATCTCTGCTGTCTACACTGACCCTTTTCCAGAACAGTTTTCCGGAAAAGGACTTTTGCCCGAATGGGAGCAGCAAAGCACTGATGATTTTACAGTAGATCGTCAGTGCTTTTCCGGAAATTCAAGGGACCAGTGTAGAAAGCTGGCAAGTTATTCCGGAAAGCGGCTGATTTTCCGGAATATGTGGCCAGTGTAGACACGGCCAGGGTGTGACAGTGGTTTCCAACTCGTGGTCTTTGTGCCCTCGGGGACCATGGACCATGTGAGCAAAATACGTGGATGGAAAAAAACTGGACAAATTTCAGCTGTTCACACAGACAGTAGATTTCAAAGGGGTCACAGAACCATCCTTTGACACTTCTAAAGGGGTCTACAAATGCACAGAGGTTGGAAGCGTCTTCGTTTAGCGCCCAGCCCTAAGGAGGGATCCTGCTAAAACAATGAATTGTGATTTCTGGGTGCTCATTCCCCGGCGGATCAAGAGAAACCAAAATCCAGTCCCTCGATTGTCCTGGCCACTCCTTAGTGTCTGAATCAGGATCAACTCCCTCCAGCTCGCTACAACAGCAGGGTCATAACGCCGGGCACCTACCAGGTACTCCTGGCTGGTCTTCTCCCTGCTCACTTTCAGTCCCAGCAGCTTTTCTCTCTTGGCTCTCAGGGTCTTCAGATGGGCCTGGAGCCTTTTCTGGAGCCACAGAAACATGTCATGTGACTAAGCAAAAAATCAAATGTGAGATTTGCTAATAATTAAAAAAATAGATCATTTTTGGTTCAAGCCAGTTCTGTAGTGTTCTTCTGGTGAACATGGGAGGGGAGCTGGCCCAGCACAACCACGCACTGCACTCCCGACTGCAGGGCCCGGCAGGTTTAAGAGATCAGAGACGGAGGCTGTGTCTACACTGGCACCCTTTTCCAGAAAAGGGTGTTTTCAAACCTTGTTACCGTAGGGAGCTGGAGTCACATACTCAGAGGCTGCATGTGCGGGGGTGGGGGGAGCTCGCAGGGAAGGGACAATGCAGGGCAGGGTGAGGGGTTGTGGCATCCAACCTGGCCTGGGGTAGGTAAAACAGAGGCCCAGGGAAAGAAAGCCAGAGGGAGGAGGCTCCTGGGGCAGGCAGAGGCCAAAGTCCTGAGAGTCCCAGCAGGGAGAGCAGGGCTGTTACTGGACACAAAAAATGCCACTGTGGGTCTTTTTGGGGAAACTGAGGCAGGGCTACCCCATGCCACGAGGGGCACTCGGGAGACAGTGACCCTGCTGCGGTTCCGTGATGGGGCATATCTACCCCGCACTGAAGGGCAGACAGCCCAGGCTCAGCTGGCTAAAAAGCCCCTCCCATTCATCCCTGCTGGGCACGCGCCCAGCGGAACCAGGGTGCAGGAGCTCAGGGAACCCTGCAGTGGGAGCGGAAGGCTGAAGGAGAAGGAGCTCAGACCGCACCAGCAGCTGTTGCCTGACCCGCCCCTGCTCCCGCAGCAACATCAACAGCTGCAGACACTCGGGAAGCAGCATCTGCAACCACCGCCTAGACCAAGGACCATACCCAGTAGGCGAGCGGATGCCAGAGAGTGGTAGGAAGCAGCCCAGGGCGGAGGATTATCTTTCGGGGCTCGGTGCGTATCGGCAGGAATCCCCAGCAGGCAGGCAGTTGCTGTTGTCTCTGCCTACAGGGCCCTGGACTGGGACCCGGTGGAGTGGGAGGGCCCGGGTCCCCCGACCTCCCATTTTCCTCTCCTGGCCAAAGAGCTCCCGAGCGGGGAGAGATTTACCTGGGACTTGGCCTCAGGGCCGTAAATGCCCTGGGAGAGGGGCAGACAGTTTTGAACGTGGCCACACATCGTATCAGCTAGATTCCCAGGGCGGGAGCTGCTCCCCAGAGCTCCCCCTCAGTCCCATGAGGGCAGGGATCGCAGTCGGCATTTCCCTACCTGGAATTCTTTGGCAGCTGCCTCGGCAGGAATCACGGTGTGAGCTCGGTGCCCCTTGGATCTGTCGCACACCACACAGATGGGGATTTCATCCTCCCTGCAGAAGAGTTTGAGAGGCTCCTGGTGTTTCTCGCACAGTCTCTCTGGGGCTGTTTCCCTCCCTGCCTGCAATTGGAGTTCTCTGGATGCGTCCACAATACCCCTCAGCTGCCTGTTCGTCCTGAGGTTCCCCTGGGGAAAGGTCCGTCTGCACTGGGGGCAGGAGACGTCTGCAGTGAGCCCCCCCCAGCACTGGGTGATGCAGGCTCGGCAGTAGCTGTGATCACAGTCCAGAGACACCGGGTCATTAAAATAATCCAGGCAAATGGGACAGGTCACTTCATCCTGGAGCATCTTTGCTGGATTCGCAGCAGCCATGGCTTCTCGCAGGGGAAACAAGAGAGTTTAGTGTCACTTCCTTGTGCTCAGAAATGGGCGGGTTGCACTTTGTATTGGTCAGTGCTGCCTTTCTGGGCGTGTTCTTGTGGTCTTTCTTTTTTCAGACTCTACCGTGCCTTTGAATGAAGTGTGATGAGTCTAAACTGACAGTCACTCCTCCAAAACATCTGCCAGGCCCCAAACTTGGGACTAGGTACTTTGGGGTGCATCTATACTGGACCGTTATTTCAGAATAATGTCGTTATTCAGAGGTAACAGCACGCTTGTCTACACAGCAAATCCATTATTTCGAAAGGACATCGAAACAACGGACGGCTTATTCCAGCTCCTGTAAGCCTCATTCCACGAGGAATAACGCCTCTTCTGGAACAGCTATTTCAGAATCGCATCTCCGTGGATGCTCCACTCCTGCTATTTCGAAATAGCCCCGCCCCAGGGCCGTTCAAAGTCATTACTGCCCAGTGCTCCCTGGGGCTGTAAATTGAGGTAGCACATCCACATTCGGGGAACCTGCCTTGGACTCATTTCAAGGCTTCCCTGTAGTGTGGATGTGCTATTTTGAAATAAACTATTTTGAACGATCTCTTCCGGAATAGATCATTCTGAAATAAGTATGCAGGGGAGACGTACCCCCAGTGAGAAAGGGGTAACAAGTGACTTGGGGTTTTACTGCCTGGCTGCACGATGTCTGGGGACAGACAGAGAGGGGTGCTGGAAATACAGATCCACAAAAAACAAACCTCTTGAGTGAATCTTACCCTTCTCTCTCCCAAGCAGTTTGCATGCCAGAGGCAATATCTACATAAACAAGTTGGCTACGTCTACACTGGCATGATTTTCCGAAAATGCTTTTAATGGAAAACTTTTCCATTAAAAGCATTTTCGGAAAAATCACGTCTAGATTGGCAGGATGCTTTTCCACAAAAGCACTTTGTCCGTGGCCAATCTAGACGCAGTTTTCCACAAAAAAGCCCCAATCACCATTTTCGCGATCGGGGCTTTTTTGCGGAAAACACTACTGTGCTGTCTACACTGGCCCTTTTGTGCAAAAGTCTTTCGGAAAAAGACTTTTGCCTGAACGGGAGCAGCATATTATTTCCGCAAGAACACTGACGACCTTACATGAGATCATCAGTGTTCTTGCGGAAATTCAAGCGGCCAGTGTAGACAGCTGGCAAGTTTTTCCATTAAATCAGATGATTTTGCGGAAAAACTTGCCAGTCTAGACACAGCCGTTATGTTCACACAGTGTATGTATCCCAGCTGCAATCCAGTGCCGTGCGTGGAACAGATTTCTTTATCATTAGCAGGTAACAGACATTTGAAGAAGAGCGTTCCATGGTTAGACATTTGAAGAAGAGAGCTCCTGTTTGCACCTCTCCAGGGATGGCGTATTAGGGGTTTACAGCCCTTGTCTCTTATTGCTCGGGGCCAAGGGAGTTAGGAGAATTCTGATCCACTCACTTCTCAATTCACTGGGTAAGAAAGAATCCCCCCTCTCCACCCACCCCACCCCCCGGGTGTTCTTCTGCC